TTCCTCATCGCCCACACAGCAAAACGTAGCACTGATAAATGGGTTTAATTACTCTGTCCAAAACAAAAAGGCAGCCATAATTACCATGGGGTGAAATTATGTGAGGATGCTTTCATTCTTCATCTTGGCGAACAATTCAGCAGGCTGTCCAACTACTGACGCAACGTTTGCTTTGTTTGTATAAACACGAGCCCTGTATAAAACTAGTGGACAACCCAGGTCAGGCCTAGGCAAAATGAATCATGGAAAAACAAAGTGCTTGGGCTGTGTATATTTTCATCCCGCTTCAGTGACCTTTCTTTGAAAGGCTTGGGGAAGTGGTGACATCTCAGACAACATCTGAAAAGAAGAGACATCCACAATGCTTGCCAGACACAAGTGGATTTCGCCCATTATTTTTATGCGGGGAGGATGTTTCTGGGGGGCAGAAACTCCTCATCTTTACACTGCAATCTCAGAGACATTACGGGCACAACCCTCTTCTAGACCTGATTGATTTTCCATGACAGTTTTTCTCCTTGTTGTTTGTTTTTCATGCTAATGGATCATTTCTGAGGTTAGGGTTTTTAGGTCCTCACATAACAATTTCCGTTGGTACCTTTGTAGCCTTTCCTAAGACAAGGACTGTCTTCTGGCCAATAGTATCAGGCAGGGGGAGCTCAAGACCATTCTTTGGACCTTTAGAGGTAGGAGAAATGTAATGAAGAACACTGAGACAATGTTTTACTTAAGCAGCAGCCCCCCAACCAAACAGCACAGTATTCGATGATTAAAACCAGGTTGGCAATGTTGAATCTTGTGATCTCCTCTTTCCAATCTCTGCCTTTCCACCCACACTAAATGATAATACTTATTCTGAACTAAATCTTAACCTTCTTTCATCCTTAAAGAAGAACTCAGAGAAGACTCAGCTAGGTAGGATAAGCATGAAAGTATAAGGAAAATGACTGTTTTTAATCTGAATTGCTTGGATCCTTCCCACCTACAGGTGAACAGGGATATTGTGTCAGGCCTGAAATACGTTCAGCATACCTACCGGACTGGGGTGAAAGGTAAGGAACCCACACCTGACACTGTCCCAAACTCTGCTCCCCACTGATACTTGAACTTCTGCTTATCAACAATTTTAGTCATAGACTCGTTTAAGAATCTGACAAAAAGCTGTGGACACTCTCCCTAGGAAAGAGCACACATAGACCTCTGACCTAGACATTAATGGCAAGGCCTACATTCAGAGATCTAGTTTAGACTGGGTCAACGACCAACCTTCAGCATTTGGCTTCTGTGATTTAAGTTTATTATTCACAAAGGGGAAGAGTAATCAAGATAATATTGAATAAAAATGGAGGCTATTAAAATACTCTCAAGAGTAAAAAAAAAAAAAAAAAAAAGCACTTCAGAGGTATAAACTTAAGTGTCAGAGAAATCCAAGACTGGAAGTTTCTATCCAGCGGCAAGTGTGGTTTTTTTGGGAATGGGAGTTGTAAGTAGCGTGTGGGCAGGTGTGGAGTGGGGATGGGGAAGCAGGGGGCAGCCCTTATTTTAAAACAAAGAAATGGAATTCTTTCTAGAATTAAGAAAAGCTATGCTTGAGACATAATACAACATTATTTGAGCTGCCGTTGCTCTTGACAAGTTGTACCTAAACTGTACGTGCCTTGGGGAACTGCCTTCAGTTTCCTTCCATTCTTATGGGCAGGGAGAAATGAAAATTGGAAAGGTGATGGAAATACTTGTACAGTTCCCTTTTGCCTCGGGGGCTCTCTTCTTCCAGGGGTGGGAAACAGTAAGGCACAGGTCAGTTCCCCCAAATTAATAAACAAAGGATTCGAGGGGAAATTGTTTGACAAATTTGCATGACTTGGACGACCACTCAGTTACTCAGATCCCATAGAAGGTTGTTGACCTGGAAGATCTTAACTGGTCTTTCCAGGACCAAGTCTCATAAAAAAAATACTTCAAATTCCTATTTTCCTTTGGGTCTAGAGTCTATGTTGCCTCACTTAGGCAAGAGGACGATGATCTGTCTGTAGTTGTTCCTCCAAACTTATTCATAACACTTAGCAGCTAACTACACATTGCCTGTCTATCTGCCTGCCTACCTTTAGTTATACTTTCTAATGCCCTCTTTTTCTTAATATATGTCCCAGTTATTCACCTATTAATAACTTTGGTTGGCTATTTTCAACATTTGTCCCAGTTCTTCACTTTTTTTTTTTTACCAAAGTATTGGTTTTCCCTCTCCATCCAAGTCTTCCATCCATGAGTTCTGTTCATTCTGATTACCAGCTGTTGTTACCTTACCTCCCACAATGGATATGTTCATGGGATAATAGTTTGTAGATAGAAAATCCATGAAGTTCATTATATAGAGAAAGAAACAGAGGCCCAGAAATATCATATGACGTAAGTGGTTGCAGAGCCAAGACCAGAACTCGGGTCTCAATTAATGAAGGATTTTTTTAATGGTATAACCTGCTACATCTCTATAAAAGAAGAGTCTTGAGGGGCGCCTGGGTGGCTCAGTCCTTAAGCGTCTGCCTTCGGCTCAGGTCGTGATCCCAGGGTCCTGGGATCGAGCCCCACATCGGGCTCCCTGCTCCGCGGGGAAGCCTGCTTCTCCCTCTCCAACTCCCCCTGCTTGTGTTCCCTCTCTCGCTGTGTCTCTCTCTGTCAAATAAATAAATAAAATCTTTAAAAAAAAAAAAAAAGTCTTGATCCCCATAGATTTAAGGTGCTGATTTCCCAACTTTCCTGATAGCATCGGCTGTGAGGTTTTTTAAAAGCATTGATTCTTGGGGCGCCTGGGTGGCCCAGTTGGTTAAGCTCCTGCCTTCAGCTCAGGTCATGATCCTGGAGTCCTGGGATCAAGCCCCTGTATCCGGCTCCCTGCTCAGTGAGGAGTCTGCTTCTTCCTCTCCCTCTGACCCTCCCCCTGCTTGTGGTCTTTCTTGCTCACACTCTTTCAAATAAATAAATAAAATCTTAAATAAATAAATAATAAAATAAAATAAAAACACCGATTCTTGACACTGCCCATAGCAGCTTACTGATCCATAGTCTCTGATAGTGAAACTGTATTATTAAAAGGCACTCCAATTAAAAATATATATATTTTAAAGGTAAAAAAAAAAAAAAAAAAGATGCCCAGGTAACTCTGATGTTTACCAGGCTTGGAAACTATGGCTTTTGGTTTTGGTCACTGTAGGCTGTGCTCCAAATTTTCCAGTTTTCTGTGTTTGCTTTTCCTCTATCAGAAGCTTACCCTAATGAACTTGTCTTTCTTCTTAGTGGACAAAGCGACATTTATGGTTGGCAGCTATGGGCCTCGGCCAGAGGAGTATGAGTTCCTGACTCCAACTGAGGAGGCTCCCAAGGGCATGCTGGCCCGAGGCACTTACCACAACAAGTCCTTCTTCACCGACGATGACAAGCACGACCACCTTACCTGGGAGTGGAACCTGTCCATCAAGAAGGAGTGGACAGAATGAGTGCATCTGCCCATCCCTTTCCCTACCTTGCCACCCAGAAGTACCTTCTCAGTCATGTTCACCACCCTGTCCCTCCTCTCTGTTCACAGCTGGATCCCTTCCCCAATGCTCCCCACATCCTGTTATCCTCACATCTTATCCCGCAATGTCTCTCAAAGTGTTCCCTAGCACGACATGCTTAAAACCCAGACTTTAATCCAGCCCATTTCTTCTGGTCCCCCATCATGGCCAGATCTTCAAAATTCTTCATTTCAATACCCAGTCATTTAATATTTCCTTCTATGTTTCCCATTTGAGCAACTAGAGGCCAGGAAATTGGCAAACCATCACTAACAGTCCTTTTGCCTTGGGTTCCAGTAGCTCATTCCCATCCCTGGATTCTTCTGTGGTTGCTGCTGGCTCGGTGAAGGTCCCAAATCACATTCCCTACCAGTTGAGGTTCTTCTTTTCTGGGAGACTGTAAACAGCACATAAATAAATAAATAAATAAATAAATAAATAAATAAATAAATAAATAAAACAATTATATGATCCGACTGAGACCCTCATTTCCCTGCTTTCTTCCTTCGAACAAATATGATAACTAAATTGTTTACATTTGTTAGTTTCCTCAGAGGCCGTGTGGGCTGGACACAGTAGAAAAGGTATTTACATCACCAGGAAGAGTTTGGTCTCCCTGTTCCAGGGCAATGAGCAATGGATATTCAGGATATGAGTAATAGAAATCTTGAGTTATTTTACTTTATAGTAGTACCACATGGAACTTTCTCCCGAGCTTGAGACCTCTATATTTCACTGTCTATGGGAATCCTGTCTTGGATTTCTGAGGGCACCTGTGGGCCAAATCAGACACTGCCTCTTACCAGCTTATGATTTTTCAATGTAATCCCATCACCTAGAGAATAAGACCCTACACTTATTGTGTAATGCCCCTTACAATCTGGCCTAATTTCAATTACTAATAATTCTCTCACACATTACATTTGCATCTCCGTGTTTCACTCTTTACATGAGACTCTCTTTCCACCTTTGTTGCCTGACGACATCCTATTTACAGAGGATTCTGCTTAGGCATCCGCTGCAGGAAGAAAACCTTCACTGAACCCTACCACTGTCCTAAATGTCCTCAAGTCTGTATTCTCATAGTATCCTATGAGTTTCTCAATTTTTTATCACATCCCATTTTATATTTAAATGATCTATTTGTCCATCTCTCACACTAACAACCCAAGCTGGGGAAAGCTGGATCAGATCATACTTACCTTTTGCATCCCTAGTGCTTAGATCAATACCTGCAAAGAATATTTCCTTTTTTTTTTTTTTTAATCCAAATGAACAACCTCGACTTTCTTCTGGTTGGTTATGTTCTGAGATCCTGTCATGGAACTTGGTCTTTTATCTCAGAAGTTGAAGGTTTTCATAGAGCCAGCTGCACAGTTCCCAGAACACTAACATCACCACAGCCAATTACCACGAGCGGGCTGCCCTGAATCGGTCTCCCAAAACACAAAGTTCAGGGCTTGGAGAAGGAGCAGGAAAAGAACAATGGAAGCTGACCAATCCAGACTCCTGTTTCTATTATTTCTTTTCACATGGAGACTATCCCCAGAAGCTGCTGCAGAAGTTCAGGAATCATCAGGTAAAAAAAAAAAAGCACTTGGGTGACCATATGTTGTTAGGGGACGGGAAGGGAACATGGGAATGCTCTAAGTACTTTTCCTCCAAACAGAGAACATTTTCAGGAAATGGAAAATGGATAAAGACCTGTGTTGCCCAGTGGAGAAAAGAGAAGTCTAGCATCGTCCTTCAGAGAGAAACCATAAGGTGGAGTCACCCTCCATATGTTAGTAAAATAATAAGGCCTTGGGATGATGACAGTGCCCCTAGAGACCGTGATCTCTTCAGCCATAGTATATAGAGAAAAAGTAGAGATGCCCTCAGCATTTAGAACTCCTACCTTCCACTTGATACCCCAACATTTTCTCCTTCTCTCTCTCTCTCACTCTCTAGATGGTTCTGCTGCTTCCCAGAAAACTGTGTCACTCACAGATGTCCCAGCGACCATGGAATTCATTGCTGCTGCTGAGGTGGCTGTCATAGGTTTCTTCCAGGTTTGTCCAGGTACCCCGTTTCTGTTCCCCCAAAGAACCAGGAACATCTTAGCTCAGAGCTGCCATGACAGTCACCTGCTGGCCAGATGATACTGCACTAGAAGTCAAAGGGCACAAAGTCTGCTTTCAGCCTCTCAGTCGAGACCTCTCAATTTCAAGACATTCCCAGTCTCTGAATTATATCCTTCTCATACTTGCTTCAAGAGTTCCGAGGCTCCTCATCTAGGAGTGCTTTGGAGTCCATATCGGGACTGCCAAGGCAGGCGCCAGAGTAAATTCAACTTCTATCATCCAGGAAACACAGTAGCCAATGGTTAATCTCTGTCTAAAGCCTCACCAAATAGGTAGTCCCTCATCTTTCTAGCTCTTCGTTTGTTCTGAAATGTTGAAAAAGGATGACCTTTTGAATATTGAAGGCGTTAGCTGCCATCTTCCAGATTGGCTGCCTGGCTAATGAAAGCAACCATACATGAAAGGGCACCACTCCAGCATTTTTTCTTTCTTTGAAGGTAACATCTGGTTATTCTCACAGATCAAGCCCCTGCTCTTATTGCAGACCTTCTTATCCATTTCCATTAATTAGTTACAACTCTCCACCACCCTGGTGATTCTGTGTACACAGCTGGAAATGGCTGCAATGAGATGCAAGTGGGGAAGGAAGACAAGGGAGCCCATTTCTCCGCGTGGAGAAATCTGAGCTGGAGACCACAGCAGCCACCCTCGGGAAGGCAACAGAAGTGGGAATGGAGGCATTTGCAATAACTTAAGCAGCCACCAGACGCCGTCCATCATTTGATCCATGAGTAATTCCACACTAAGGAGAATCAAAAAGTGGGAAGCCTAGATTAGCAATTGTTCTTAGCCTCGAATGAACTCCACACACCCTTTCCAAGGAGCAAGATACCAACTCCCTCTGCTTGACCCCAGAGGGAAGGCTAGTCAGTTTCTTTTCTTTTTGCACTTCTCCCCCTCCGGCCCAGAAAGATGTCAGAAAAGGCCATGCTCCCTCCTGTTTATTGTCTGGAGCTGCTCTGGGCAAAGGTCCTGTGACAGCAGGGAAAATGATGGCAGCTTGTTATGGAAGGACTGGAATCTTAACTTAGACGTGGCTTCCCTGCTCCCTCCTGCAGGCCTGGGTTCTAGCGTTGGAACAACATAGGAACAGTATCTTTCACGGGCAATACCTCAGGCTTAATGCAGGAAAAGAAGACCGTTCTTCCACATCCCACACAAACCTTTGTTCATAAAACTTCTAAGCTTCCATTTTAATTTCCTTTATTCTTATTTTTTTTTTCCTTTTTGGCTCTTTGACAGCACCTATTTCTTATTTTTGCATTTCTTCTTTCCTCCACAAATTATTCCCAAAACATTTGCCTCCTCGGGTGGATCAGTGACAGTGCAGCCAAACTCTGCAGGCCTCTCTGATTTGGGGGCCCCTCTCTGCTCATAAACTACAAGCTTTATGATAAGGCCAGACAAGAGTTTCAGGCTGAGCTACAATTTTGTAGTTACCTATTAGCCCACCCCGCCTGGAAAATTCAACAATCCCACTGCAGATTTAGCCTGCACTCTTAGAGGTAAAGGTTTTTCACCTGACAATAAATCAAGTCTATGATATTTTTATATGAGTGAGCACATTTCTATTCCCTATTCTCTATGTCTCTCCTCTCTAACATAATCCCTGTGGGTTGTTTTTTTTTTTTTTTCCTCTTGTTTTTAGGATTTAGAAATACCAGCAGTGTCCCTATTCCATAGTATGGTGCAAAATTTCCAAGATGTGTCATTTGGAATCAGCACTGATTCTGAGGTTCTGGCCCACTACAATATCACCAGGAACACCATCTCCCTCTTTCGCCTGGTAAGTTGGGTGGGCTTCTCGAGCCTTTTTCCAGTTTTTCCTTAGGTTATAGATTCATGAACTTGTGAGCATGGAAAGGCTCTATGCCTTTAACGCTAATGATGGTGCCAGAGACTGAGGAGTCAGGGACAGTGATGACAAAGATGGTGGCTCCGCTCAAGCTTCCCAAACAGGTGCTGTCATGAGATGGAGAGAGAACTGGACTGAGCATCAAGAGGTAGGATTGCAGCACAGCTTTGTCACTGACCAGCCACATGACTTGTGCAAGTCACTGGACATTTTTTAGCTTCAATTCCTTCATCTGTAAAATAAAAGAATTTGACGTTATCATTGCTAAGGTCATTTTGAGCTCCAAAATTTTATATTTTTATATCCTTGGGAGTTCACTTACATTTACCAAACAGGTATTAAACAACCACTGTGCCCTCTGCAAGATACTGAAAATAAAAACATGTTAAATATGTTCTCCGCTCTCATAGGTCTTAAAATATAGTCGAGAATGTAAACATAGTTTACAAGTATCTACAATGCAAAGAGCATCACTATGGATAAAGTATGATAGTCATTAAAAGGGTAAATGCAAGATAGGGATTCTGGCAAAAAAAAAAATGATGAAGGAGACAACTGAACTGGGATTTAAAGGAGAGATAAAATTTGGACAAAGTAGAGGAGAATTCATGTCCAAGTTGGGAATAATATCAAACTTAGGAAACAGTGATTAAGCCAATTTGACTGGATCTCAGGGCATGTTTAGAGAAAATAAATATATGAGAAGCTTGATTAAAACCACATTATGGAGAAATTTGAATACCAGGTTAGTGGGTTTGCATTTAACTTGGTTGGCACTGCAAAGCCCTTAAAGCCTTTAGATCCGGGAGTAACATGAACAGGAATGTGTTTTAGCAAGATGATTTTGGCAGTGATGACTAGGGTGGATTGTTAAGCAAAAACACAAGAGTAGAGAGGACTTTTGTTAGGCTGACAAAATCAACCATGTACTAAGGGTCTGTAGCAGAGAAGGGTCTGTAGCAGAGAGGGGTCTGCAGTAGAGAGGGGTCTGCAGTAAAGAGGGGATAAAAGAAAGTGAAGAAAAGGGGCCCCTGGGTGGCTCAGTCGGTTAAGCACCTGCCTTAGGCTCAGGTCACGATCTCGGGGTCCTGGGATCAAGTCCCACATCAAGCTCCCTGCTCAGTAGGAAGTCAGCCTCTCCCTCTCCCTCTGTCCCTCCCTCCTCCTCCCACTTCCCCCTCCCCAACCCACCCCCCACTCATGCACACACTCTTTCTCTCTCAAATAAATAAAATCTTTTTTTTAATTTTATTTATTTATTTGACAGAGAGGAACAGTGAGAGAGGGAACACAAGCAGGGGAAGTGGGAGAGAGAGAAGCAGGCTTCCCGCGGAGCAGGGAGCCCGATGCGGGGCTCAATCCCAGGACCCTGGGATCATGACCCGAGCCGAAGGCAGATGCTAAACGACTGAGCCACCCAGGCGCTCCTAAATAAAATCTTTTTTAAAAAATTATAAAAAAAAGAAAGAAAGTGAAGAAAAGGCAGGTCCTGCTAATGATTAAACATAAAATTTCTGGAAAAGAGGCAAAGTTTAAAGCCAGGATATGAACGAATAGTGAAGGCATATACAAAAATAGGGATTTCTGATGCTTTAGTTAGTTGTTAAATTTGTATTGTTGGTGGAATATCAAGACAAAGATGTATAGAATCTACTGGAAATGCAAAATCGGGACAAAAGATAAAGTTTTCAAGATTTCTGCACTAAATGTCTTTCCCCCTCTAGCCTCCATCCTATATATTTCACTTCTCACCCAAATCTCTTTTAAATGTATTTTATATTCAGTGTCTCAAATTTTCTTCAAGCTCTTAAATACCCTGTTATCTAATCTATGCCCCACACTCCATTAAAACTGCTTTCCTCCAGGTCAGCCTGCCTTCCACATTTCCAAACCCAGTGAACACGCTTTAGGTCTTATTTAAGTGAACATGTCTGCCATATTTGACTTTGTTGACTGTCTCTTTAGCATTCTTTCTTTCCTTAACTCCTAAGAGCCTACTTCTGGTCCTCTTCTTCTTTTCTTAATCTCCTTGAGATGTTCTCTGCCTCCATGTACACTGTTTCCTGACCCCAGTGCTCTTCCCAATCTGGGTTATTAGAATTTGCGTTCCGTAGAAGCAGAGACTATTTTGTTCACGCCTTCAATTACAGAGCCTAAAAAAGTGTCACTCATGGAGCAGGTGTCCATTGTTTGTTGAGTAAATCAATGAATGAATGAATATGTTTTCCTTAGGTAATACAATTCTTTTTGTTTGACTATTATGTGTCTACTGAGGATCTGAAATGTTTTCTCTCTAGCCTGGACCTCTCTCATGATTCAAATGCTTGCTGTATATAATTATTTGGGATAGTTTCATTAAACGTTACAGTCCTAACATGTTCAAAACTGAATTTATCATCTGCACCTGCTAAGTTATACTCTTTCCTCTAAAACACTTTAATTGAATGGCTATGTTCATTTAGTCTAATTTTTGCCAATTTTACCTCCAATCTGACTGAATCTATATTCCCCTTCACTCTTTTGACTTCATTCCTCATTTAGGTCCTTAGCATCTTTGGCATAAACCATTTCAATAGCTTCTTAATTAGTCTCCCTTTGCTACTTCACATCCATATTCTAGATTGTTATCACAATGATGTATTTAAAATGGAAAGTTGACCATGACATTCCCTTCTTAAAAACACCTCAATATTCTCCTTTTCTTACAAGATAAAAACCAAGATATTTAACAGTACATATAGTCTTTTATGACCTGGCCACTGCCTGCTTCTCTAGTCCCTTTTTTAGCACATTCCCATGGTAGGCTTTACTCTCCCGCTACACAGTGTGATAATACAATTCCATGACTTCACACAGGCCCCTGCCTAGAATGCCACCACCTTCAATGGCCCCTATCACTTAGCCTCACCCAGCAACCTCCTCCTGTCCCAGTGAGTCAGTTGAGGTATTGTATCCTTCACAAAGCCTCCATGGAATCTTCAAATTGGCCTACCTATGCCTCTATACTTCCATATCTCTATTTACATTTACCACTTTATAGTACATGTCATATATCTCTGTGTCTGTCTCACCTAATATGACATTAGACCATGAGCTATTCAAGGGCAGGAACCACGACTTATGCACGTTTGTATTCCAAAGCTCCACAATATGCCTCTGGTCACGAAGACACTCAGAAGTGCTTGAGAAATTGACTCACCTCCCAAAGTACATCTGAGTCCCTAATCCTTTGCCCACCTGGACAGCAGCTGCAGGTTGTTATTGTCACCATCATGAAATAGGATTAAACCGAGCTCTTCTGTGAAAAGCTTTAGTAAGACAGCTATGCAAGGTTATTCTAATGCCTTTCATGTGACTGCTGAACCACTGGGAGTAACCCTTCCATAAAAAAAGTGCTAATCAGCTACACGTCCACAAGTCCTTCTTTTCTCATTTCCGTGTTTATAAATCTCACAAAGGCCTGATTGAAAAGTCTTAGTACTAAAAAAAATTTAAAAATTAAATAAATAAACAAACAAACAAATAAATAAGTCTACTAAGATACATATGTGGGGAAGAAAAACTAGAGCTGTTCCTTCCAATGTCTCTACAGGCTTTCTGACCTCTAATGGGTGCATTAGCCTGGCTTACCGTGTATTCTTTATAAAGCCCTGTTGATGACTTCCCAGGACTGTTCACGCTTCTTTAGCATCTGTTTTTTGTTTACCACTAGTGGCAAGACCTACTCTAAATGAACTCCTGGGAACCCTGCGAATGAGGTTATTGATGTACCATACCAAAAACAAACATACCAGTTCCTGCCCTGCTCCATGGGCAGGTCTGGGAGAGGTTCAACCTATGCCGCACAGCTTTGAGATAAACATATTTGTCTCAGTTTCTACTTTCAAAAGTTTAGTCCATATTTTAATAGAATTATTATTTAGGAGTTTAGGATGATTTTTTTCTTTTTTTAGAAGAACATCAACCAAGACTATTCTTTTTTAAATTGGGAAAAGTGAACCTGTTGTGAAATTTTGGGTACCTACCTTCATCTTAAATGTATAGTTCATTCTGTTTGTTTTGTGTTATGATAGATGTTATGCTAGGTGTTTTTCAGTATTCTACCATTTAATTCTCAAGAGAATCTGATGAAATAATTATTATTATCCCTGCATTATCAATAAGGACACTAAAGCTCCCTACTCTATAGTCTCACAACTATGGAATAAACAGACGTCTGATTCATACCCAGAATTGCTGTCTCCAAAACATGCCATTTCTATGATACTATAGTGACTTTCTGAAGCACTTAAGCCTGACAAAAACCTTTGTTTTTACTCCTAGATTCTATCAGGCTCCTCATTCTCAAGCCCAGTTAAAATTAAACCTTCTCCTAAATCATTTCTCTATCCCCCTGGAACTACTTAAACCCTGGGATTACTTCTCAAGATTTAATCTAGGCATTACATATGTTGGCAAAGAAATCTCAGAATGTAGACATAGAGAATTTTCAATTGTAAGAACATATTTAGAGACAAGCTGGAATAATGATAAGTGGAAAAACAGTAAGACTGTAATGAGTTGACATTACTAGATGCTTTGAAATGTTAGAGCAATACGAAGCCAGCAAGTGCTATATTCGTGGAACACATCACTCTCCAGAAAGAGTGCAGGCCAACTCTAAAAATGTGATCAGAAAGAATTTAAGTCAGTGAAACAATAATAAGTTGTGTATGACAACCTGTTTGGTGTGTGTGACAGCTTGTCTTTTGTTGAGTGTGACTGCAGGCAGACCCTCCACCCTCTCTGACAACACTCCCGTTGTTGCCCTAATGGAGATGTAATCCTGGGTTGAATAAACCATGAGCCTGTTCTAAAATGGAATTTCAGATATTATTTGAATGTTTATCCTGCTTTGGCTTTCCTCAATCACCTCTTTTTTAAGAAATATA